GCCGTCCGCCTCACCGGCAATGCGCCCATGTGCACTGCTGTGCGTGGTGTTAGAGGGAGCGGCGGCGGGAATCAACTTTTTCTCCGCGTCCACACCACCGCCTGCCACGCCCGGCGGCCGCGGTGTCTCGGGTGCTTGTGGCAGTCCAGGCGAGTCACCACCAGCGGAGTCTTCAATGGGCGGAGTTTCAACGCCAGGGGTTGCAGCTTCTGCGCCTGAAGGCAAAGTGGGCGTTGCTTCTCTGGGCCGTGTGACCTCACCCTTCGACGGGACCTGTGGACCGCTTTGGCTCTTCACGACTTGCCCCTCTTCTTCTGAAGGTGCATCCGCATCTCCACCTCCTGTTGCCGCCTCACCGGCTCTCGTTCCTTCACTCCCACCATTGTGCTCCGTCCCAGCCTCGTTGTCACCTGACGCCTTTGATTGCAGGGCATTATTCCCTCGTTCTGTTGCACCACTGCCGCTCTGCGTTGTCATTGTTGGCAGAGAAACGGGGCCCTCAGCAATTTTTTGATCCGGCGTGTCAGTTGTTTTTCCCTCCTGCGCCCTTTGAGACTTTGAATTAACTGATGTACTTGAGGTCCTCGCAGTTTCCTGCTGTTGGACCAAACGTTTGTACCCTGACAACGTTGTCCACTTCTTGTACACATGGCTGCTGTTGATGGTTGTATAATTCATTATGAACAAAGTGTTGTCGCCAGTATTTTCAGTGCACCGCTCTTTTCCCTTGTCATTACGTCCGTAATTTGTTGCAATGGTTAAGCAAATGGAGGAACTGATATCTTTTTCGCCACCGTAAGTCGCATCAATTATGAGCTCGTCCACCGCCGTCGCAGTGTTGCCGTCGCCGTTAACGCTGTACGCAACATTTTCCTGAAAGTTGTATTTAATGCTGCCTTGAGTGTCTTCAGTAGAGTTAATATCGTAAGCTTGAGAATCAATTCCGCTTCCACAGTCGTTCCAACTCGTTTCCCCAGAAAATCGCCAGCGCGACGGTTTCTTGTTAGCCTCACACGACACCTCCACTGGTATTTGTACTCGCGCATTATCCACATGCAGAATACTCTTCGTAGCCTCCTTCCCATCGGCACCCACGCCCAAACAGCAGCAACAGCACAACACAAATGCCAACATGACGCACACCACACGGCACTTCGTCGTCATCATTGTGAATAGTCGTTGAGTGGTAGTATGCCTAGCTAACGAGAAATAAAAATGAGAATAAGAGACATGCGCATTAACAGATAGATTTGTACGCTGAATCGATACACGAAAGGAAGATAATAATAAAATCTCTTTGCCGAATCATCGAGAGACAACGCAGCAAAGTAATCAGCTTTTTCCCCATTTCTGTTTTTATTTTTTTTCTCTGAGTGTTTATGTCGGGTTGTATCAAAAAAAAAACCTGTGAGGTGAGAGAGGTAGTTGAGCTGCTGCATGATTATGGTCATTCGAGCATGGCGTCCTGGGGGTGCGATGGTTTTTATTCGCTGCAGTACAGACTGTTGCAGCGAAGGCGAAAGGGGCACTCTGCCGAGTTAGCGGTTTTGCTCCAAGGTCTTGCTGGCTTTACGCTGGTACGCTTACACCTCGTAGCGGCTCCCATGGGTTTTCTGCGCAGGCGTCACCGTCCGCCCGCAGTCGTCTCTTCCTGCAACGATGCGCACGCATTTGATATGGCTGTACTTTAAAGATGTGCCGACGGTAGCGTTCCGACTGAACACATTCAATGACCCCTTTTTCCTCTCACCCCCGCCTTCTCTCCCGGCACAGACACAGACAGAGTGACAATATCGCGTGTGGGAGGTCTCAATTAAGACGCTCATACATCTTCCGCACAGCTTCCTCCAGTTTCTCATGCGACGGCATGTTCGTTGTCTCGCCGTAGACAACGAAGGTGAGTGGCCTACGAATGATTTCGGCGCAGACTCGTTTTAGTCCGTCGATCGTGATATGTTGCGTTCCCTCCACTGTCTCGTTGGCCGTAATGATATGATTATGTACCACCATGTTGAACCCCATGTCGGAGAGAAGCTGCTCACGACCTTCACCGAGTAGAATAAGCTGCGATCTCAGTTGATTCTTTGCCATTTCAAGATGCAGGGGACTCACACGCTGGCAGATGGAGGCAGTCTGATACACCATCACCTTCAGAAGTGAGTAGGCATACTCGTGCGGTGCACTTCCGTACAGCCCAATGAGACCACCATCGCTGTACCATGCCGTGATGCATTCTAACCCGTGCAAGAAGCCCTCTTTGTTTAGCACCTCACGAAAAAGTTTGGTTTGCATGCCCTTTCCAGGGCCGCCTGAACTAAACGATGTCCCACCACCCAAGAGGGTCTGAATCACGCTGATGTTGTAGTAGTCAGGATGATTCATAGGAACACCCTGGGAAAAAAGGGCCACGTGGCTGAGATTCTTCTCCTGGAACTTATTCATGCTCTCGGGGGCCTCCGTCTTCTGCACCAGCCGACTTCCCCCTGTGTATGGGTGGTGACATGGCGTGCTAAGCGGCGCAGGCTCACAGTCAAACTTCAGAAGGCGCTCAGCATCTGCGGCGAATTGTTTGTGATCCGCGACACCGGTGGCAGCAAGTACGGTACGCTCTGGTCGTGTATAGTTGCGATGAAAGGCAGTAAACTTTTCAAGGGTTAAATTATCAAGTTCGTTCTTCGTTGGGTTGAGCGGCTGTCCAAGTCCTTTGCCGTTCCACCCCGCCTCGTGCACGAGTTCCAGGCAGACGCTTGTCGCGTCACGGCAGTGCAGGAGGGCTCTTTCAGCGGCCTTCTCCTTTGCAATATAAAACTCCGCCTCATCCTGTGTCGGGTGCAGGCACATCGAATTGAGCAGCTCCAACCCATCCCTCTGGTGGTAGCGCGGCAGCATCAACATAACAGACAATGCCTCCTTGTTGTTTGTAACCTTAAAGGCGTTACCTAGTGAGCCCAGAGCCTCGCTGATCTCGCGGCCTGTAAGTATCTGGTTACTGCGCAGTGGCAACGTCTCGAACACGGCCACCGCCCCGGTATTCGTCTCATCCTCAAACTTCGTTCCGTTCAGCATGAAGAGCCCCATGCCAGTGATGCCGTTGCCGTCGTCGCACGTCAGCACACGTAAACCATTAGATAAACGTGACAGCGTGTAGTTATCCTTCGTCAGGGTTTGCGCAATAGCACGTCGTGGGAGACAGCAGCGCAGCATTGTGGCGCGCAACCAACAGACTTCTTCTACCGCCTTGAACAGAGCCTCCTCGCGCTTTTTCCTTCACGCACCACTCACCGAGTGAAACCCGCAGACACACAGTCACAATGCAACCGCTATTCTCCCTCCCTTCACTCTCTCTCGCTATCGCTCTCACCCGCACTTTTTTCTCGGTGTGTGTTTGTGCGTGTGTATTTAGGCTGCGTGGCCAACTCTCCTTCTCCCTTGGATGCGGCGTGAATCAACTGGTGAAGAAGGGAAGTGGCAAAGCCACGCACGCCACAAAACAAAGCGGAAAGGAAACGGAGGAGTCACAGAATGAAGTGCAGAGGCAAAGGTGGAAAGCGAGGCAGAAGCGGCAACGGAGAGAGTGAAGAGAAGCCCACCTGCCACATTTCCCTGCGTCGTCGATCCCCCCACCCCCTTGCACACATACGCAGACACAAAAATCACCTGGTTGAGCCACGCTATACACTCAACCAACACAGCCAGTAGTAGCCAATACCAGAAACAAGTATAATCATGCACACCCACTTCCCTTAATTTCATGTAATTCCCTTCCACCTCTTCCTTTCCCAACGCAGGTGATACACACATACACTTACGGAGAGAGAGAAAGGGAGGCACTACCTAGCTCCCTTCGTCGCGGTTACTGCCACATGGAACCGAAGTTTTGCTGCGAAGCCACCATGGCACCCAACACATCGCAGGGTAGCGGAAAGACGGCATCGCCAAAGGCGCGATTGTAAATGCGCATGCGGTGCACGATGTTGGGCAGGCCCAATTTGTCAGCATAATAACAAACGCCGCCCTTCCACGCTGGGAAGCCGTATCCGAATGTCATTGCCACATCCACGTCTGCGGAGCTTGCAACAGCACCCTCGCCAAGAAGCTTAGCGGCCTCATTGATGATTGAAAACAATATACGCTCCACGATTTCCTTCTCGCTAATATCCCGACGCGAGATATCTTTTTTCATGCAGACATCGAGGATTAATAACTCCACTGCCCGGTCAGGGCGCGGCACCCGCTCAAGTGGAGCACCACCTCTATGCCATACTCCCATTTGGGTCACACCCTTTTCATCTTCCGTGCTCCTCGCACCCTGCAAAGTGGAGAGAATGGAACTGAGCAAAGAGGTATGCTCGTAGTTGTACCAACCAAGCCCTCTTTTTTGTCCAAGCCGACCCGTAGCCGCTAACAAGCGCGGTATGGTGTACACATCTGCTTGTGTGGAGGGAGTTTTACGTTGCTTCTGCAGTGCAGTACGGATTCGCGCCGTAAAGTCGAGTCCCGCGAGGTCCTCAAGGGCAAAGACACCCAAACGAAAGCCAAAACGCTGCAGCGCGCGGTCAACCTCAAGAGGGAAGGCACCTTCCTCAAGCATGGCAAATGCCTGATAGAGACCCGCATATAGAAGGCGGGTAGTTAGGCACGCTCCAGTGTCCTTCGTTAAAACGACAGCCTTACGAAACAAATGGCCCATGTGCATTGCCTGCAGAATGGTCACCTGGTCTGTACGCGGCCCCTGCACAATTTCCAATAGAGGTGTAATGTGTGAAGGAGGGATAAAGTGCATGCCAATGACCTTTTCAGGTCGACGCGTCACCGCTGCCAGTTCCTCAGTACTGATTGCAGAGGCACTTGTTGCAATAATGCAGTGCGGTTGGCAAACATCACTCAGACAGGCAAAGACGCGTTTCTTTAACGCAATATCCTCACCGACGCACTCCACCACAATGTCCACATCTTGCAATGCCTTTACAAGATCCGTATCGTAGGGAACCACGGACAACATGGATAGACGCTGCTCACGCAAGTCAGGTGTCAGACGCTCCTTCCTCACATCGCGGTCCAATTGGTCCTGCACGAAAAGACGAACCCGGCGACATTGCTCCTCGTTCACCTCCACCACAGTTACTGGAATTTGACTCTGTAGCATAAGAAGCGTGATGCCTGTGCCAATCGTGCCACATCCAATAACGGCAGAGCGACGAATATTTGCTCTATCTGCTATACCGTGCGGAAGTGATGCAAGGCTGCCACGAAAGGCAGCACTCGATGAGCGCAGAAGGTGTTGCATGGCATATGCTTCAGGAGACTCCAAGGACTCCAAAAAGAGTCTCTGCTCCACCTGTAATCCCTCTGAAAAAGAGGCCGTAGTTGTAGCCGCCCAAATGGCTTCTAAGCATCGCATCGGTGCCTGAACGCCCTTAGGGACACGCTTGCTCAGCTCGCGCTTCGTCCAAAGAAATAGTGCGCGGTTAACCAGAATGTTACCAAGTCTTCTGTTATCACATGACAGACGCCGTGGAGTTTTCCAATCTGAAGAAAGTTGAAGCGCCGCTGCCACCACCGAATCGTTTCTCCAAGGAAAATGTGCCCCATGCTTGCCGAAGGCGCCACTGCCGGCGGATCCGCCACTGTCATGTTTCATGGCGCACGTTGTCACATGATCTACGAGGCCCGCTTCCCGTGCCTCACTGGCACTCATCTCCGTAAACATGGTGATCATGGCAATCGCGACCCGAACGCCAATGAGGCGTGGCAGCCGTTGTGTTCCCCCGCCGCAAGGCACAATGCCGAGCTCCACCTCTGGAAATGAAAACACTGACGTCGGTGAGGCGACGCGGTAGTGTGCCGCGAGTGCTAGTTCCAGTCCCCCAGAGAGGGCGAGACCGTTAATAGCTGCCACCACAACCTTTGAACTGTTCTCCACCAAGTTTGTTAGCATCGAGAGGCTTGGAATGGCACCACCATCGTAATACACCTCAGATGCTGAGGCCCTAAAGTCTGTTACGTCAATCCCGCATGAAAAGGCATTCCCTTCACCCGTAATAATAATGCGGTGAATTGCAGGGTCCGCCTCTGCTTCACAAAAGTAGTGATGTATGGCTGCCCGCATATACACCGTGAGGGCGTTGTGGAGTTCATGGTGAAGGATCAAGACAGCAGCGTCGTCGAAGCGCTCCAAGTGGCAGTAACGCCGATGCCCCATATGGGAGCAAATCGTGTCGACACGCCGCATTGTACCCCTAAAGCTCTTCAGCAGAAACACACATACATAAACAAGGCGAAGGGAAAGAAGAAATAAACAAACAAACAAAAAAGGTGGGTGTACGAAGGAGGGAAAAAGACGCTGGTACGTGTAGCTCTTGAAGTGGGACTTCGCATCGCATTCCCCACTGGTGCTTATCTCTCGCTCTTTCCACTTCTTCCCACTCTCACAGCCACCTTCACCGAGAAAGCAAGCAGACAGGCGACCACATATAGTCAAGCAACAGCAGCAATCAAAGTAGCAAAAATGAGAATAATCACCGTGCCAATAGCACAAACTTCGACTCCGCCGAGATTGATTTTCAGTCAACAAATCAGTGACAATCATGCGACGTTGTCGTTACTTTCACTTTTTTTGTTTGTTTGTTTTGTTTTGCTTTGCTTTGTTTTATCTGTTTCGCCCTTCCTCGCGGTTGTCGCTGTTTCTTTTTGGTAACTGTGATATCAGTTGTCTCAGACTTAGCTCCTCCTCCCTTAGTTTTGTTCCGTTTTTGTCGCCTTACACAAAAGTAAATCCAACACTTGTTATCGTTCCAACGCCATCTCCGCTTGGCAGCGCCGCCAGTCCCATGGACAGTTGTTCATGAGTTTTGGGTGCAACAGCCCCATAGCCTCCATTTTTGCAAGGTTCACGCGGCTTTTGCCTACACTCGCATCGACAGCGCCGCTCCCCGCCGAGTTGGCGCCAGGGTTGGTAGTTGTGGTGGTACGTGGCACTTCCTCACTATCCCCGGGCTGTCTCCGCTGCTTCACGTCCTCAGGAAGAAGAAATCGCTCCCACAGCGACCGCAGCGCCGCCGAGCCTGGCAGCTGCGAATTCATCTCCTCCACAAAGTCGGCTTCCAACAGCTGCGACATGGCGGCACACTGAGCAAAGAGCACTTGCACTATCAGGCTTATGGAAGGGACAGCGGTGACTCTCAGCTCCTGCGTGACCCACTTCTGAAGTCGCTTGCGGGTGCCTTCACCATTTCCAAGGCGATCACGCAAGAAACTAAAGAGTGGATATAGATACACCGCGGCACGCACGCGGTGGGCCATGGGAATCATCAACGGACCCACAGATGGGGGTGCCATACGTACACGGGCCGGGCCTGCCGCCGCAACACGTCTTGTATTTTGTTGAACCGGCATATAGCCTTTTGTTACCAGTGACACAAGCTTATGCATCATGTCAACGGCCTCCTCTTCGTTGCCTAGCAGCGCAAGGCTTGGGGCCAGGTACAACAAACACATTGGACACTCCATTCTCATGACAAAGTTGAGATGAAATGCGAGCAACTCACGCCACCATTCGGCGTTCCCGCAAACACCGGCTGCCTGCTGTCGCATGAGATCCCCCGCCAGCCGGTAAAAAACGAGACTCGTACAACTTCGCAGGATCTCTACAAACGGTTTCTCGACTCCTCTCTCCTCGACTTGTCCAATGAGAGGACTCCCCAATATCCGTACGGCATTCGCAGGGCCACTACTGTATAATGACAAGGAAGACGAAGAAAACTCATGCAAAGGTTCATTATCTGAGTTTTGTAGTGATAACTCCATGTCAAATAGTTGTTGCAGCACAAAACGAATGAGTTCATTGCGATACGCCAACATTTTATTGTTTTGCATCGTAAACTCTGTGAAACGCGTTGGAAACGGGCGCCCGTCAGCAGCAGATGACATGTTGATCGCCGCATCACTAAAGTCTGCCTCACTTGCAGACATCACAGGAGCCGTCATCTCAAGCGGGCGTAATTGATAGCACCGGTTAGATGCGGACGAAGCCGCAGCGTCCGTTCCGCTATCCTCCGAAGCCCGCACCGACACGGCAGAAGCTGAGCTCTGCAAGGTCGTGGCAGGACAATTCACAAACAGACCACTCTGGCCGTAGTCTGGCGTAGGAAATGAAGGAACATGTGCCTCAAGTGCGAGGTGTAAGAAGAGTGCGATGCATGTCTTGTGATGTCGCTCCTCCACCCAACGCCGTTTTGGCACAAGTGAACGCATACTCTGCTCCAGCACCTCCAGGACGACAGCACTCGGGTACTTTGTGGCCACAGTGTTCATAATACGCATAATGGAATCTGCTGGGATCAACCGTCGTGCACCGTCAGCTACAGGAGGCCGCATTTGAAACGGCTTCATGGCCACCTCCAGTACCCCACGAACGGCGTGTGGGGATTGCTCAATAAGCAGCATACATACACGTTCAAAGGCAATTTGGATCTTCTCATGCCAGCGCGTGATGGCGCGTGTGACACTCTGGGCACCACGTGAAGCCACATGAACGCGCTTTGGGTCAACAGCCTCCACCACGCGCCACCATGGCATTGTGTGTAGCACGCCAAGGACAAGGAAACGAAGCTCAGTCAGCGACCCCGCGCCAAGCCTCGCGCATTCAGCGCCCTGCAGCCATTCGGCGGCGTCCGTAAGCCACTCCACAATCTCGCGGTCCTTTTGCTCCGCCAGGGATGTCCGGCGCAGGACGTCAAACAAAACCTGCTGGCGTAACCACATCCGTTGGCCCGGCAGCTCTACGGGCGGAGCGCCGCGAAATACGGGCGACTCCGAATTCGAACGGTCCCGCTTGCGCATGGGCTGCTCCGATCCTGCGCCCATCCACCCACATACACAACAGCCATCACCACCAAAAAGAAGGGGAAAACAGAGCGGAAGAGAATCACACATGAAAAAAAAAAGTGCGAGAGCGGGGTTGAGAGTCCCTAATAAGGAGAGGCCCGACAAAAGTCCCAGCCAACTCAAAGACGATACGCAGGAGGACTCGTCCGCACCTTTTTTTTTTTTCTCATCGTTGGGCCTTTTCTGCTAGAAAAAAAATCATGGGAGGGGAAAGGAGGAGCGGTGTACGAACACCACGTCATTCCGCCATCCCTCCTGTGCCAAATGTGAAGAAAAAAAAAAGAGCCGCACAACTCTGTAAAATAACCAACCAAAAACAAGCGAGAAAAGATAGAAAAAAAAAAAAAGAAACCTCATCACATTTACACCCAATCATGCGTCTTTTTTGGTTGTGGGCAACATCCGCGGCGGGCCTTCCGCCTTGCGTAACAGCCGCACGTGGGACTCCAAAGCGGCAAGAGCCCAAAAATGAATTTCGTTCATGTCATAAATGAGACGAACGGCTCCTCGCACGCAGAAACAGTTGCCATCGGCCTTTGTCCCGTCTCCGCCCGTGACAAAATCAACGGCTCCTTGCAAAAGATGTCGAACCTCCTTCGAGACATCCGCGAATGCAAGCCATCCAACCACAAAGACATAGTCGTTCTCGCAAACACTCTCATCGTCTGCACTTCCCGCCACTTCAGCAGCATCTCCGGTTAAAAAAGAGGCGTCATCCGCTAAAGCTGCGCCAGCAGTAGCTTCTGACCGTGTTCTGTGAAGATGCATCACCGAGATTATCCCCGTGGTATCGGAAATCAATAAGGCGGTGTAAGGCCGCAGAGCTGAGGCACTGCCGTTGCGCTGAGGCCCCTCACAGCGCACCACACGCCCACTAAAGCACACAGCGCCACAGGGAACTCCATCCAGAAGCACCACCGTCTCACCGACACGCGGGGAACGAAGCAGTGGTCTAATAAATACAGGACGTGGAGCGGAGACTGAGCTAGAGTGGGGTGGGTTACACGCTGTGCGTGTAACATCATCGGAGACAGCAGCAATCTTCATGTTGCATGAGACGCTGGTTACCATCTGTTTGCAGCCATTGCTTGCTGCGTCCACCGCCTCTTCTCGTGTGTGGGGCATGTTAAGAAAGTGTGAAGCCACCGACTTCATCCCCAGAATATATATATATATCCCTTTCAACGTCTTTCACTGGAAAGAGGAGAAAAAAAAGAGTAAAGAGTACAGCGAAGCATTATTAACTCCGCATAACATGGTAGGTAGCATTAATGTGGCATCCGCATCGCTGTAGACGCACGTCACTCCTCCCCTAAATACACACGTATACATCCCACGTTTCCTGCAGTGGCGTGAAAACATCTTCCTTCACGTCGAATTCAACTACCTTGTGTTTCGTGGGTAGTATTGGTGTTGCGGTTTGCACTATGCAACTTTTCCAAGTGGTATGCGCCAACGATGCGGCAAAAACGATGTTCATTTTTTTTTTTTGTGTGTGTGTTGTGTCTTCTTTCTGTTTTGTTTGGGTGCAGCCACGCCACTCACCACATCTTTTTCGTGTCCTTCCTTAATTCACGTCGGGGACCTCCAAAATCCTTCAGCGCCCACGCCACAGACACATCGACTCCCAGGAGCAAACTCATGTTGGAAACTGCGCGGGTACGTGAAACCATAAAAATCGTTATCAAATGCGGCATGCGGCATCGCTAGGCACAAGCGACGTCAGCTTCAGTGACAGGGGAAGTAGGCGAGAGGGCGCAAAAGGTGCAGGTTCAGCATCAGAGGTCGCGTGTGCACTATCCTGCAAGATCACGGGTGCGGGTGGCGGGACATCGCTGTCGACCGCTACAGCCTCCCACGTGTAAGCTCGCGGGAATCGTGCGTGCACGCCGTATGCCTGCCGCTGCGCTTGGCGCACCATGGCAGCCATCTCATCTGAAAAAAGTAGTGACTTCTGCATCATGAAGTCCACGCAGCCTTGCGTCGCGTTGCGCACGAATTGCTGCATCAAGGCCGAGTGCTCCCCCAGTGTGTGGTTCAAGTCCAGTGCCAAACCTGAAATATGATCCGTGGCCTTTTCAAGTGCGGCAATCCTCTGATGACTTTCACGCAGCGCTGCTTCCGCTTCCGCACGGCGTCGCTGTTCTTCACGTAATTGCTTCAACAACTCCCCCGCATCCATTGTGGCTGCAGCAGCCACATCAGCGGCCACCAGCACGACATCAGACGACGCATCTTCTAGGTCTCCGCACGGTCTCTTCGGTGTTCTTTGTGAGTTTCGGAAAGGCCGCAGGGAACCACTTTCGTTACCCCCGTTACTCACGGTATCCACAGCGAAAAACTTAAACTTCGGTAGGTCACTCAGCCTTCCCTCAAAATAATGTAAGAGAATGTTCTCGGGGTCGTCGTGTACTAACCCACCTCCAGCATTGTTTGGAGTGACGTCCATCATTACAGAGTTCAACAGTCGTGTGTCCTTCTTGTCGTACGTCTCATCAGGCCCGTCCGTTCCAGCTTTCAGTGAGGCAGCCCCATCCCCTACTTGACGCCACCGTGCAGTCAGTGCGCGCCCCACCATTCGTTGGAGTGCCCCGAAACTCGCTTCTCTACCCTGCACGACACGATTCTGCGGCTCCTGCTGCCCACCCCCTTGCTCTGCCTTCGCAAAGGTAGAACGAATCTGCAGCAAAGGATCCAGTTTCTTCATGTCATATTGTGGTCTGTGTTGAAATACATGCGATAGGCCGCGCGGCTGAGTGCCGCTCCCGGTGGCTGAGAGCGGCAACTCTGCAAAGCTTGGAGTCCAGAGGCGGCTGGGCGGTGCATCCGCACTGCGTGGCAGCCTCACGGACAGCTGCCCATTCGGTTCTGTAGTTGCCATCTGTCGCTGAAGCAGTGCGCGTTCTCCCTCTAGGAGAAGCCGCTCGTGTGGCGACAAGCTGGACGTTTGGCACCGACGCGATTGCAGCGCGTCTGCCTCCAACGTAAAAGTCAACGCATCGGTTAGTTTTTGTATCACGCTGAAGCGGAAATCGGACGGAAGATCCCACAGCGAGGGATATGTGCCACCTGCGCGCGCCGTCGCATCCATGGCTTTCACCTTTTCTGCATTCCCAGCAAGCGACTCCAGTAACAGTTTGTATTCTCGCAGGAATTGGACAAACAATTCGGTGCGTTGCACCAAGGCACGTGTTGCACCCGCCTTCCTTAACACGGCATCGTGCGGCGCAGCTGCAGGCAATGCGCAGGCTGCGCTGCAACGTGAGCACAAGGTAAGCAGAGTAACAGGAAAACGACGATCGTTTATGCCAGACTCCTCCTCTACACTCACATAAATTTCAGGTGCGTTTAACCAGCCTGGCTCGGTGCACGTTGTTTCGCACAACCAACACGCCAAACGGCGTTCCCCCGGCATGGACAAAAATAACTCGGCAACTGTGGCATCAACTCCATCAATACCAGGCATTTGTAGCTTTGTCATGTCACTAGGGTAGATATTCCTCGCTGGGCCGCTACTATGACGTTGCGTCGCCTGCGCAGGCGGCGTTTTCCTTCTCGTTCTCGTACTCACACTACTGCTATCTACTAGGCCCACAGAGACGAAGTTCGCCCTAGGAGAATTGTGCCCGCTCGTTAAGGTGGGCTGGTTTTTTACAAACGCCTTCTCACATGCCGCACGGAGCCCAGACGGAACGCACCTCTCCACATCCCCCCCATGGCAGGGCACAGGCAGAGATAAGGCTTCGGCATCCGGTCTCACATTGGAAGTAGAAGTACTCACGACTGTGGAGGGCGTACCGTTAGTGGAACGCAGAGTGGCGCTCTGACGCCAACTCGTCTGGATGTTTGCCTGCAGGACGTTGTAGCCGCCTGGGCGAGTGAGTTCTTTGTAGATTTCCCGTAGCTCGTCTGCTGGGTGGCCAGCCATGCTTGAGCGACGCGCCCTGCTGCAGCAATCCCGACTCCCGCGCTGCGTTTAAAATCCGTCGGTAAGAGTTAAAAGAGACAGGAATAAAGTCAAAAACACACAAAAAAAACGACAACACAAAAAAAGAAAAAAAACACACACGCAGACTTGTTTTCCTGTGAATGCAAAAAAGGTGGTAAAAAAAAAATTGATTAAAAGAGGGGTGTGTAGCGGAGGAGAGGCAGTGAGTAGATGGGAAACACCCATCCGAAGTGGCTCATCACTATTCAAAAACCCCACATTCACCCACACTCATATATTACATTTATATCCAGGCGTTAGATGCTAAGTACCGCCAACACCTTCGTCTCTCTTTGGCTCCCTGCGTTGCCCCCCCCTCCCCCACACACACACGCACAGGCAAAGTGAGATGGGAGGAAAACCAACAACAAAGAGACATGGAGAGGTATTGATAAGATATAAGAAAAAGCGAACACCCAATGTTTACCTTAACAACAACAAAACACGTGTTGCACCCCGACAACACCAGTCACACCGCTGCCAACGTGCATCGCCCCCATACTTCACCCAAAATGACAAGAACCAACACACGGCATTTCGTTAGCTGACTTTAATTTTTATTACCACAATTTCGCCCACTTCCACTGTTTCTACGCCCCTTCACTCCCATTTCTTTCCCCTCCCTCTTCCGCAGACCACAGGTGGGTACGGTCGTTTGTTTGTGTGTGGGTAAAAAAAAAAACACGGGTGGATGTGGCGCCACACGAGCGTGAGAACCACGCAGACGGTGGCAATACAAATAACAAGAAATAAAAACCGCCTACAAAACAAGTGCTACGACGGTGAATCCGCGCAATAAAGAGCAGCTGCGTAGCACATGCGTTGGCAAAGGCGTTACCTACCGTTTGTCCAAAAACGAATCAACAAGGCGTGTGCATAAAAAAGTGCACACGGATACACACACACACACACACACACACACACACGCACGCACATATATATACATGTATGGTTCATAGAAAAAGTATAAGAGCAGTACGAAGTATAGAGAAGGGATAAAAGAAGAGGGGTAGCTGCAGAAAACAAATAAACAAACAAAGGAAAACAATAACAAAAAAAAAATACCAGTCGAAGACAACCACAAAGTACTCGCATGCATACACTTTTTTGTTGCCTTGCACCTTGTTTCTGTTGTTGCTTCTACTGTCTTGTTCTGTTGTTTTTTATTATTATTATTATCATTATTATTTGCTAGCTTCAGTTTTCCCTCTACCCTCTAAAGCTGCAGACACCAGTTCGTGCATTCACTACCCCACGATGCCAGCCGCAAAACAGACACAGAAGCAGTCCAGTCACAGCACTGTAAATATGGAACCATGGAAAGACAGACAGGGGCGCAGGGCTCAAAAAAAAAAAAGTTTCGTGGTGGTTTATCAGCAAACGATTCACGAGAGCAAAATAGTAGAATAAATATTTTACCCCCACGCCTCAACGTATAACTGCCTCGCTTGTATACAGTTACACATACACAGTGTGAGTGAGAGAGAGAGGTAGAAGAATGGATATACACGCCGTTGATGCACACCCACAGCTACTCTGGTGCCCGCACAGCTCGGAAACGACGGGCATTGTGTGGGACCCGCAGCTCAGACGGCGGTGCTTCAACGAAAAACCCCATCTCTCCCGTGTCACGTTTACATCTATCCACGCCCGTCGTTACCCCACTACCGGCGCTATTACCATATGCCCCCGCAGTACTGTGCGTGTTTCGCGAGGCGACAGACGGATTCTTCAATTCCTGTCGAAACGGGACTTTTCCGCCCACGCCTGCTCGGCCAGCTGTGACAACGTTCCTTTGAATCACCTGCCGATAGGTTGGCCGCACCTCTGCAGAAGAACGCCCTATTGGTGGCACTCCTGAATCGCCACGCTTGGTGCTACTGAAGGCAGAAAACTTCGGCAAAACGACACTCGATGCAGCTGTTGATTCATCAAAAATAAATGAAGGCTGTGGGGGAATCGCACACGCATTCGTCAAGACGCCCCCGCCTGCGACCGAAGACACATTTTTTTGAGAATAATTGTCTCGATAAAAAGGAATCTTTGGCGAGTTGGAGCGGTAAGTTCTACCCCGCACAACCTGGCACGTTTTTGGCACGTTCATCGATGTATCACTGCGCCGACGTAGTCTGACACAATCCATATGAGCAGACGGCGGGCAAGCAACAGTCGTCAGAGGGAAACGCCTGAGAGATGATCCCGCGACGGACTGATTTGAATGGCTTATACTTTGCGCTGTAGATGGCGGTCGCGGTTGCGGTTTCAACTTTGAAGTAGCGCCTCTTACTGTCATTCCACCTTTGACGCGCTGAATAACCGCCCCCTGTGTTATCGGAAAACTGTAGGAATGAATACTCAATCCGTTCATCGAATCCCCAGCTTCTACTGTCTGTGGCAAAGGTTTGGTCTCAGCCATGGTGAACGGCGGTGATGGTGTTGCTGTTAGAAGCTTCACTGCTGCTGCTGGTGTTGGCAGCTGCGGTGATGGGGAAAAAAACGACGGCTTCTCTAACTTCGATGCAGTGATATGGGATGAACGCCTGGAAATACTACTGGATGCACTGTTCCCCTTCTGTATACGAAGGACATGCAGTGCCGAACTGTGCAGCATCATTCCCGTACTAGATTCCTTTGCTTCTGGTGACAAAGCAGGACAATTGACGACCTCCGACGCAGAAGACAAGGGTTTTGACGGGCATAGTATTGTCTCCGCATTCAGATCCGTCGAATGTGTCAGTGGCTCTAATGGAGATCTAGCACTCGTCATCTCTTCAGTCGGAGATGTCTCCACCAATTTTGTCCCCACTAGGGCCCCAGATGCTTCCAGCGGTTGTTTATGCGGATTCAGATGAGGGTCCGTATATTCGCTTGCGGTCTCTACAGAAAAAGACACCTCCTCTGACGGATACATCAAGGGAAGGGAAGGTTCAGCGGGAGTACGAACCACAGAAGTTCCCTCCGATTTGTTGTCCGCAGAAACTGGGGCCGGGAACTCACATGACCTCATTGTGCCTTGCAATGACCCTTCCTGCTTCTCCTGTACATCTATAGCCAAAGCGCACGCCACAGGAAGCCTGTCTACCTTGCAGAACATGTTATTTCTCTGAGACGTTAGGGAACATCCGGGGAGATGGCCCGCGTTTGGCACAGGTTTCACGTCCGTTTCGGCGAAGGGGTGTAAGGAATCTGAAAAACTAGCATGCGACTCCTCTGTGCATGATTTATAAACACAAGGGGATTGTGTTGTTTTTCCCGACTCCGGAATTCCAGCAGCAATCTTCATCTGATGTGCTGGCGGGTGTGGGTTCAGACCAGTATTATAGCTTGTGTGCGTCGCCGAGGTTAAACTCCCACGCTTTGCCAGAGTTTTTTTCTCTACCCAAGACAGGCCACCAACCTGCCTTGCTCCCGCGACGTACACCGTTTCATTGTTATTGGGCGGCACTGCCCGTGGGAAGCCGATTGAATTCTCATCCCCATTCTCCAAACCATTTTCTATGAGATCCGTTTTCTTACTAAAGTGGTTGTAAAAAATAGGATGCTCTAGAGCCTCTTTTGTGGTGGCACGCTGCAATGGATCATATATAAGCATGGAGGCAATGAGGTCGTACAGCTCGGGATCATCGTGGAAAACATCTGCCAGCTTTCGCGTGTTCATCACCCTTCCAGCCCGTATCAACTCCGACGTGTGTAGAAACTCCCCACTTTCCGTAAAATACCTACCCGAATACTTTGAGTTCTTCTTAAATAACGCTGGAAGGGGTCCTAAGCGTTTCTCCATCAGCTGCAGGTGCGTGACATCGTCGCACACATCGAACAACCGCTGCCCCGTGGCAACCTCGTATAGAATGCACCCTATGCTCCACACGTCGGCGGCGTAAAACCATGGGTTGCCAAGCACGACCTCCGGCGCACGGTACGGGCGGGTCGATATCAGATCTGCGTCAAGGCGGTCCATGCGCCAAAGTGAGGCACTACCGAAGTCGCACACCACCCACTTGGTGCCTAAGGAATATTTGGGAGGATTAAGGTCCGCTAAAAGAATATTGTCCGGCTTCACATCAGTGTGCACAATGCGGCAGTCAAAGTGAATGTGTCGAAACGTCGTCAGAAGAGAATAGGAAAGCTCTACGAGCTTCGCTCGCGTAACGACACCATTCTGGTAGCCAAGACGTCGTGTGCGCAGCGACGGGCCGTGGATGGACATTACAAACACCGGGCAACGCCGCCATTCAAAGAACTCAAACATCCGACATACCGCCAACCCCCCCAAGTGCTTCTCATTAAGTATCTCCAACATATTCCTTTCACAGTAGGCATCCTCCCTATAATCGCGCTTAATGATTTTTAACGCCACCAACGCAACCTTCACGCCACGCTGCCCGGTAACATCATAACAGCAGTAGACCTTCGAGAAGTTGCCGGCGCCCAACTCACCAATGACCTTAAACCGCGCGTCAATCATATCCCCCACACACACCTTCAAGTGTTCCCCCTTCGACAACGACATACTGCAGCAGCTAGTACGCCTGCAACTCCTTTACCTTCCTAAAGCTCCTCCCGCAGCACCCGTACAACGACAAAAATGTGGACCCTAAGCTGCGGGAGACCCCCAAACACACACACACACACACACACACGCAAAACGACAACCACAAAAGGGGCGCAAAAAGCCGATCAGCACGCAAAGAGCAAAACCAAAACCAAAAGCAACAGCAACAAAAAGGCCACCGGGAGAAACCTCCAACCGACGCCACTCATAGAGCCGCCTACACAAATTAAAAGCTCATTTTTTTTTTAAATGAAAATCACACAATCCCAACAAAAAACCGACATATCGACCATCAGAAACCGTGCAAGAAAAAGAAGCAAATAAAAGTAAACACAATTCTCACATACATAACCAAAACAAAAAATAAAAAAACAAAAGTCCAAAAAACACAAAGATATCAAGTTCCTACTCTACTATTATCCAAAACAAAGAAAGGCATTCCTCATGCTAAATATATTAAATTATGCTTCACCTATAGTAATTTTATTGGGCTCCTACAGGCGGGAGACTTCCACGTAGCGGGGGACGGCGCTCTTCATCTCCTCCGATGCCTTCGCCGCAAAGCGCGTCTTGAAGCTCTTCTGGAACATCTCCACCAGCTCCTTTGACGTGTCGTTGAACTGCTTCACATCCTTCCAGGCCTTGCGTGGATTCAGCAGGTGCGTCGGCACATTGGCGACGTGCTTCGGGATGTGCAGGCCCCAGCCGGGGTACACCTCGTACTCCCCCTGGTCGAGCGAGCCGTCGTGGATCGCGTCGATGATCGCACGGGTGACACGCAGCGGCATACGCTTCGCACCGCGGTCCGCGCGGCCGCCAGCGTAGCCGGTGTTCAGCAGCCACACGCGGCTGTTATGCTGCTTCATCTTATCCGCCAGCTGCTCACCGTAGAACGTCGCGTGGCGCACGAGGAACGGCCCACCGAAGCACGACGAGAAGACCGGGAGAGCCGTGCGAGTGTTTCCAGCCTCAACGCCAGGGACGTTTGCTGTGTAGCCAATCACGAACCAAAACATCGCCTGCGCGCTCGTCAGCCGCGCCACTGGCGGCATCACGCCAAACGCGTCGTTCGTCAGGAAAATGATGTTCTTCGGGTGACCGGCGACGGCCTTGCTCAGTGCACCCTCGATGTAATACAGCGGGTAGGCAACGCGCGTGTTCTTGCAAATCGACTCGTCGTAGAAGTCAATCTCACCCGTCGTCTTCTCCAGCACACAGTTCTCCGCCACCGCACCGAAGCGCACTGCGTCGTAGATCTCCTTCTCCGTCTTGGGGTTCAGGCCGATGGCCTTGGCGTAGCAGCCGCCCTCAATGTTGAACACGCCGCGGTCCGTCCACACATGCTCGTCGTCGCCGATCAGGTTGCGATGGGGGTCCGCCGACAGCGTCGTCTTGCCGGTGCCGCTCAGCCCAAAAAAGACCGTCACGTCGCCGCGCTTGCCCACATTCGCGCTCGCGTGCATGCACAAGTGGTTCATGCGCGGCATAAGCTCGAACATCACCGTCAGGATGCCCTTCTTCATCTCACCAGCGTACTCCGTGCCAAGGATCACCTGCTCGCACGTCTTAAAGTTCAGCGC